CCAGCCTACCAGAGCGAGTCTTTCCCAAATGCCTCGCGTTCCCAAGGTGAGTTCGCGCTCCAGTTTTGCCGAGGGCGTTGTGTCCTTCACATAGTGCGCCGATAGTGCTTTAGATAAAAACCGTAAGGAAATCATTGAAAACGAAAGTAGTACGCTGACGCGTTCACTACGAATGCACTGGTTTTTTGCCGTTGTCTCACGGCCGCAATTTCCTCCGTCGCTCCTCATCGTATTCGATTCGATCAGGTTCTCCTCTTCTCGTGTAAACCCTCGTGCCATTTGTGACTATAAAAGGACAATGACACACCAACGTGACGCATTTCAGACACCGTCAGTATGAACCCTATCGACAGTATTCTTATCTTCCTGCTAGCTGCCTTACTCACTAACGCCCGATCAGGTATGTCTTCCATTCTCTTCACGAGATCTTTGTTGCGGCATCACGCTCATGCCAAGCAGGGCACGTTGTACGGTGGGGATCCAGCGAGGGAGAGGGGGGGCGTATATGGGTAGCTTGAAGGAGAGGTCGTATTCGCCTGTGAGAAAATATTTTTGTATGTTGACATTGTTCACTTTCTCAAGTTTTTTTTCTGTTCACATACGCTATATAACACCCTCCTCTTCGCTCCCAAGCAGGGCACACAGCGTTCGATGGGGGATTCCCTATGGGGGGTCGTATTTGGCCGCCAAAAGGGGGGTCGTATTTGGGCTGGGAAAAATTTATTTTTATAGTTGATTTTTCTCGCTTTGCGGACGTTTTGGAGGGGGGGGTCGTATTTGGTCGTTGTTGGGAGGGGGGTCGTATTTCTGGCTAGGAGTTACGTGGTTCACTTCATGAGTTTTATGAATTTTCTGTGTTATAGGTACTATGTACGCCCGTACGATGTACGTCGCATGCCTACTACATACCCCCGCTCGACAACTTTTTCGCCGAGTATAAACCACAACCACAGTCAGCCATGTCAGCCATCGTACGAGCATGGGGGGGGTCGTACCAGCCCCTGAAAAAAAAGGGGGGGGGTCGTAAAAGCTCGACCAAAATCCCCATCGAATGCTGTGCCCTGCTCAAGGCATATCGTTGTTGGGGAATCCTCAGCAAGATGGCTTTCCTTTAGCCGCCAGGAGACGGGGGATCGTATTTAGTGTGAGGAAAATTGATTTTGATACTTGATTTCTCTCGCTTCACAAAATTGATTTGGATAATTGATTTTTCTCGCTTCACTGACGCTATAGAGCGGGGATCGCACTTGCTCATTGTTTCGGAGGGCGGGAGTCCGTATACTACTTTTACGAGCGTCTTGTGTAGCAAGTGGTTGGGTGAAACGAATGATTTGACTATTTCGTGATTTTCCTTGTATTCAACGCTGCGCTACTTTCCACCCCTTCTCCCCACCCCCCTCCTCCCCCTGCTCGACGGCTCAATTGATGGAAAAGGACAGAGGGTGTCGTGCCAACCCCCAAAAAAAATTGGGAAAAAAAGGGGCAGGGTCACTTTGGTAGAGACTGCAGTTGGAGAAGTTTTGGAAAAAAAACTCCAGAAACGTGGAAAGAAGTTGGGAATCGTATTTAGCCGATTTTCTCCGACCCGACGGCAGTGATGTGCCCTTTGGGAGGATTCCGAGCTAGATTACTCGACACAGTAGACGCAGTGCTTCAGCGTCACGTTTATTAGGTCATATCAGCCTACATCTTACATCACATATTTCTCTGGGTCTTACAAAACAATCCCAATCCGCAAAATTTGTGGGGCGGTTCGGTATCAAAAAGGGGCACTTTGCACCTCCTATAAACTTCTGTAGAGCTAGGAAATGTTACGCGTTTCACTTCCGACACCTCATTTTTGCCCACAACTTGTTCGCCTAAAACAGAGCTTTTCTTGGGCGCAGTTCGGTGGCGGGGGAAGGGGGTGGGGGGTATTTTACACTTTCACTACTATTCCCATCGACATGTCGACCCATCTAAACAGCCTCTTCTCCAGTTGGTTGTGCTACCATTGATGGCCTATGACTGAACTTCTTCCAGTTTCACAGGAGCTCACAGTTTTCACCAGAGTGGACTTGTAAACCGGAACTAGTGAAGCAATGAAAGTGCAAAATGCACCCTCCTTCTCCCCCCATCGCCGAACTGCGCCCCTCTCGTTTTGGGCCAAAATGCTCATATCCTGGGCCTAGCAATTCCGCTTTTCTTACTCAGAAGAAGTAGTCGACATGATGAAGTTGGGGTAAAGGAAATTCGAGAGGCGGGTGTCATTACAACCCTCTCTACCCCCAAAGTTCTCACATCGCTACGAGCCACTCGCTCAGCCTGACTACACTCTTACTCTCCTAAATTCCCCCAATTTTTTTTGTCGCCATGCGGGGGAGAGTCGTTCGGGGGGTTTCGAAGTTTTCGTAGTACTATCTGTGCACGACACAAAACCGTAACCCGACGAAGCATTGCACCCAAACGGCCCTTTGGAATGGCGCCCTCGATGCTTCTTTTTTTCGATTTTCAGTGAATTGTTCAAAGGAAAAAATGGGCAAATGAAGCCTGGACAATTTTTCTGAGCTCCAAGGTTTTCATAGAATTCCTGGGCACTGAACAGAAATAACTATCCCTCCTCCCTCTTTTGCAGAACTGTTCAAAGCTTTCTTAGTTTTATTTTTGGGGGTTTGGTACGACCCCTCCGGCCCTCTGTCCTTCCCCATCAATTGAGCCGTCGAGCAGGGGGGAGGAGAGGGGAGTGGGGAGAAGGGGGTGGAAAGTAGCGCACGTGAAACAGGAAAATCACGAAAAGTCAAACACCACTCCCAACCACTCCTACAACGCCTAAAAGTAGATACGACTCCCCCCTCCCAACAATGAGCAAGTACGATCCCCCGCTCTATAGCGTCCGTGAAGCGAGAAAAATCAATTATCAAAATCAATTTTGTGAAGCGAGAGAAATCAAGTATCAAAATCAATTTTCCTCAGACTAAATACGATCCCCCGTCTCCTGGCGGCCAAAAGAAAGCCATCTTGCTGAGGATTCCCCAACAACGATATGCCTTGGGAGCGAAGAGGGTGTTATATAGCGTATGTGAACAGAAAAAAAACTGAGAAAGTGAACAATGTCAACATACAAAAATATTTTCTCACAGGCGAATACGACCTCTCCTTCAAGCTACCCATATACGACCCCCTCTCCCTCGCTGGGGATCCCCACCGTACAATGTGCCCTGCTTGGCATGAGCGTGATGCCGCAACAAAGATCTCGTGAAGAGAATGGAAGACATACCTGATCGGGCGTTAGTGAGTAAGGCAGCTAGCAGGAAGATAAGAATACTGTCGATAGGGTTCATACTGACGGTGTCTGAAATGCGTCACGTTGGTGTGTCATTGTCCTTTTATAGTCACAAATGGCACGAGGGTTTACACGAGAAGAGGAGAACCTGATCGAATCGAATACGATGAGGAGCGACGGAGGAAATTGCGGCCGTGAGACAACGGCAAAAAACCAGTGCATTCGTAGTGAACGCGTCAGCGTACTACTTTCGTTTTCAATGATTTCCTTACGGTTTTTATCTAAAGCACTATCGGCGCACTATGTGAAGGACACAACGCCCTCGGCAAAACTGGAGCGCGAACTCACCTTGGGAACGCGAGGCATTTGGGAAAGACTCGCTCTGGTAGGCTGGTGGAAGCTTGGCTAAACGGAGGACAAGGACACACAACTCCATCCCTCCTCCCTCTTGATCCGGATCCACCATCAGAGTTTTTTTGGTTCCCTAACGTTGGCACGTCACGCTCTATTTATCCTCGATGAAACACCTTCTCATTCAGAGTACGGCATCTGGATGGGTGAACGGCGCTGTGAGTACGACCCCTCTTGAAAGCCTCCTCCTCTGGTACAACATCCTTTCCCACCCTACCTGCGCCATCCTACCAAATTATTCCAACCCTCTACTATTTCCCTGGAAATTTTCCTCTTTTCTTCCAAAAAAAGGCGTCGAGAAGGGCTGAGTGAAGGTAGATGATTAAAAGAAGGGCGTTGAGATGTGGTGGAGGAAGCAGAACCTTTCTCACCAACTGTTCATACCAACTACTCGAATAGCAGCTATTCACTAGTTTAGCCGTATTCATCTTTGCGGCGCCACTAACTTCGAATAAATAGCGCGCATGAAACGGGGGAAACCAACAACCGGAATTTTTTTTGCGCACCCCGGAGAAAAATTCATCTCAAGGCCGTATACCCCTCATCCGTTTCCCTGCAAAACACGAATGTATAACTGGAAAACTTCCTGTGCACCTCGAAAACATCTCTCTAAAGGCCGTACCACCCTCTCCCCTCCCCAGCCAGATACATATGAACCGAGTACGATGATTATCGCCACGTTGATACGGAGCACTATAACCCTTGATTTTTACGGACACCTCATTCAGTATGTCCATGAAATTTACAGGGCATCTAATCATTACGGGAAAACTGTTCGATCGTGCATATGCGCGAGCGACGTATCAAAAGGATAAATATTTCTTGGCTTTTTGGTTTTTTCAAGTTGCTCGAGTTTCGACATTCCTTCTGATGACCAAAGAAATAGAAATTGGAGGTTCCGCCTCCGCCGATATGTCCAACTTCATTCCACATCCTTATTTCTTTACAACCACTCCCACCCAAATTCCCTTGGGAGAACTCATCGACAGGAGGTGGGGCAAAAATATTTACACATTTCCAAAACCCCTCTATTAGTGCGGATACCATCCATGAGCCGAGCACTGGCTCAAATCAGCGCCCCTCGTGCCGCTAGAAGCGACATCAGAGTCTGCATCCGCCCCTCCCCCTCCCTCAGTAAGTACATCTCTGTATCTTGCGTTGTGTTATCAAAAGTTCATTGAGAACATTCACTTGAGCTCAAGGGTACGGGTGTTAAAATGAGCTGAATTAGGACCATTTGTAACTCTTGACATTACGAGGTAAAGTTGGGCCGGCAACGGGAGCTGTTCGGGACATTTGCGTTGCGCTAAAAGAACGTCGTAAAAGCGGCGTCAAAAGCGACGTTACCCTACGTGGCACTGGCGCCATACTCAACTGACTTGACGAATAAGTCTTCAGTACGAGCCCAGCTAGTTGCGTTAAGCAGCTGATTTATTACTGGTATCGCCGCAAAGTGGATATACCGGTCTACTTGAAGGCAGGCGCTGCATCTTTCCAGGGGACTTAGGCAATCAAGTGTTTTTCATTCGAAAATGTGATGACGTTTTAATGCGATTTAGCCCGAAAAATAATTCACGGGAACGGCGTGTCACTCAACGTGGAACGT